TTTATATTATTATTATATTATATTATATTATATCATATCATATCATATATCATTATCACCAACAAACCAACCGCCACCAAAAGACCCTCTAAGTAAAGCCATTCGTGAAATCGATTGACATTTCGCAGGCGTATCAACTACCTTATCTCTTCCCTTCTTTCTCTGCCTGTTCCAGCATTGTCTGTTCCTGTCCTAGTCGATCTATGTGTCGCAAATCAATGTCTAGTTGAAAAATGTGCAATTCTGCTGGCTGTGCGGGTAGCATTTTACAGAGAGGACCCGTCAGTTTGCACTCTATCCTCCCATTGTGTACTTCTTCGCCTTGGTACGTACTTCCTCCCTTTTATTACGTCAATTTATGGCGTTGACAGGTGTTAACATACTGTGTCGGCCAACTAATAACAAGCAATTCCGGGTGATGCTAATGATGCACTCCCTTGAATGCAAAAGGATTTGCTACAGTTAGATGAACCAGGACTGTAGTAAGTTTGATGTAGTCGGATGCAAACATGGCTACTTTCATGTCTGCGTTCATTATCAGAATGATAGCTTCTAGACACTTGAGAGAATTGCTCATTATTATTTAATTACTGAATTATTGATGCAAGAGCTGGCTCGAAATGCATGAAGGCGACAAACCTGTGTGACACTACCAAGTATACTGAATAAATGTCCCTTGGTGCCCCGTATGATTGACCCCAACGAGGCTCTACCACCGTGAACACCAGTTGGACTATCTGCTCCCAGCAAAGTATGTCCGGCTTGCGTAGATTGATGTTGTGTGTCGTGGCTTGCAGTACAAGTTCTTGCTGAAATACAGGCCGAGCGAAAGTGTAAATGTACAATCACTATTCTCAGCTGTTCTTCCACTCGGACACTGGAACTGTCAAAATCCCAAAATGCTACTGTTTCCTTAGATTTATATATACAAACCTTCCTCGAACTACCAGTATCCAATACAATTTCGAGAACGTTGGAATATTGTACTACAAGAAATGTCGTTTGTCGATGATTCAACAAATTTTTACAATCATTTTTTGAAATTTCTCCTCCGTACCCATATTAATTAGTTGCTAAAAAGATAATACCAGTGCAGTGGAGGTAGTCTTTGCGATCCAAGGCAGTATGTTGCGAGGATGACATTCGTGAATAGTTGTTACATCGCAGCAGTAATGTCAGTTGTTGGAAAGAATCGAAAATTATACTTGGCGTGCTGCTTTTGTATACGGAACGAAATTATACTTGTTTTGACCATTTAATGTGTACGTGCAGTTGCGCAAAATACTGTTCCTGAAACTGTCAATTTCATTCCTTCTAATCACATGAAAGATGCACATGAAGCAATTTTTTTTTCCAATACAACTTACACGCATGCTGTTATCATTTCCATTTTTTTTCTAATGGCTATCTCCATCGACTCTTTATGATTGACATCTGCGCTAGCAAAGAAATAACTACTGTTTTAATTTCGGCGGAGTTGCTCCTGGCGAAGACTGCTTATATCCTGAGAGATTGTAACCAGTTTTAACAAGCGGTAATTCGGAGGAAACAAGTAGCCTCCTGGTATATCACGGTTACATCCATGGTATTTCTTTTGCTTCATTCGCAGATAAAATTCCACTGTTTTGCTGTTTCTTATCAATGCTTCCGCAAATGGAATGGAAAACAGATATAAAATGCAAGAACAGTGACACCGGAAATGCATCAAACAAACGGAGGCGAAAAATGTCTCGATTCATTTTTGCTTCATCATTTCATCATATCATCTTCGTTAAAGCACTTCACAAAATTCACTTACTTTTATGCGCATTTTAAATAGCACCTTTCCTTTTCAGCAAATATACTGATGCCACAGTTTTTATTCAAGTTATAATATTTTTGTCACTCTTCGAGGATAGGAAAGACCTTTCCGACGTGCTGTTTTTGATTTCCGATTAAATCAAGGACGGAAACGAAAAGCAGTACCAATGCCCCAATATGAAAAAAAGGAGAAAGAATGACTGAATTTGCCAGGAAGTTCCAATCCAAAGTTGTTGTGAGGCAGGCACTGAAAAGCTTGGCTTTTTTTACCGCACTCGCTGTCGTAAAGTTTTCTTCTCTCCGCGTGGTTCATGAAACTTAAAACCAACAATTTAGTGATAACACCCAGCCATCTCAAATCTTCAACTATCCAGAGCTATTAAAAGAAGCTATTATCTATGGGAAAGGGAAGAGAAAATGGTGGATGGAAGCATGTTGCACTGAATCTGTAAGATAAGTGACACAATTATCCATCACTCATTAACGATACAATAGGACAAAGAATGAGAGAAGCTTCAACACTCAGCACTTTGAAACTGTTCCTTCCTATAAAAGGAAGAGAAAGAAAAGAAATGAGTTAGGAAATAGGGATGAGAATTAAAGAAGACAAGTTTGGCTCAATGCAGCCTAGGCTTTTTATCTCTTCGTGTATCATCGGAAAAAAGTATGCAAAGCTCCGAAGAATATGGAGGATGTCGCGCTCTGCTACACACAACATATTCTTCTGACTTATTCCATATCAATATTTTACAAGCATGTTCTTGGAAATGAAACTAATATATTCTTCAGTTAATCTTTAACTCAATATCTGAGCAGCTTCCAATCCAAAAAAGAAATCGGCATTATAATTTTTGTTCCCAAGGAAATGCTTTTGATTGCTCAGGAAGAAAAGGTGATGACATGAATTGATTCTTTGTTGAACAAAAAATAAGTTCATTTTTGTACTAAATACCAAAAATGCAAACTATTTAATTCTTGTCAATCTACTTATTATGCATTCAATCGAAATGGTTAAGCTTGTGAAGGATATATGCATGGAAGTTTAGGCAATGATGCAACAATTTAAAAATGTGTTATCTTTCAGATCCTCCCGAAAAAAAAATGTACATATAATTCAGACGTCTACATATTATTGCTGAGTTCAAAAGGTTAAGTCATACTTTCGTTGGAACAATTTCATTAAAACATTTCTGAACATAACTGTCAGCATCAGAAATAAGTATTACTACCGCAATGGTTTTTTCGTTTAGAAAGGATCAGTAGAAGTTGTTTGCATTTATTTTAAGTAAGAAAGGATAAAATTCTTCCTAACTTTTCATAAATGTATATGAAAATAGAAAGCGATTACTGTATGTCCTAACAACACTACGACAAATGCATAAGACATGAAATAAAAATGAAGGTAGAACATTTCTGAGATATTTTTTTGTTCGCCTATGCTTTATACATATACATATATATATATATATATATATCGATCGGCTCCTGTACATACACCCATTGCTTTCAGCTTCTATTTTTTGCAAGATTTAAAGAATTTTTGTCAGCCGAAGTATTTCCGATTATCGGTCACAGTGGCAGTAAGTCTCTATATTGAGAGCTAAAGATTGAAGTAACCATTAGTCATAAATCTTGCAAAAATCAAATAAAATGAGTAGCTTCTGACACAAACATCGTTAGATGAATATCCTCTTGCAAATCATTAATAGTTCTTATCTAAAGGATCGCCTGGAGACGAATTGTGGCCAGCATATCCTAGAAAAGCTTATAAATCGGTATAGTACTACTAGGCAGTCGAAATACTTTCCTTTGAATGATAAAAGCATTGTCCGTTATACCCTGACAGTGTTTCTTCAGAACGGTGGCAGAAACATATTTCGAGAAATACTTCAAACGAAAATTCAAAATTCTTTCATCAACTTCGAGGATTCAGATTTCATATTGTTTGTTCTGAATCGATAATAATAGAAAGAATTTCATTTCAGTCAGTCGACCAAAACATTAATTGTACGATTCTGAGTGAGAGCAATGATGCCAGAATAAGAGCAATTAGTTTAAGGCATTTAGAAATCTGTTAATGACAAAAAGCATTGTGACAGAATAGACGAGCGAAGGACTACAGTATAGATCTAGATCAAAGTAGAACATATTGTCAAAATGAAGACTAAATGCAAGTAACATATCGAGATCAATTGCAAATGGTCATTTGCTGAGCAGTATTGTCCCATAACGTGCCAACTGATGCCTATATACAATGACTAACACCAGCAGCTCCTTCCTTGGCTCTTTCTCATCGTAATGCATTTCATGAGCCTTAAGGGAGTCGGTAAGGTGGAGCCAACACGTTTAACTAAAGCCATATCTGCTAGAAGTTTTGCTATAGTGTTCAATCAAATGGATTGCCATTAGTGTGCCAATCAAATCCCTCCTCAATACAACGCCTACTTTTTTCAAACTTCTTCATTCACTTCAAGAAACTGTTCTATAAATCAGTTCCAGAAAAATTCCTAAAATTATGCAAAAAGTGTTTCTCATAGACCACAAAAAGATTTATTTTAACTTAAGTGACCATTTTAAACTTAATGTCCTTTGTTTAATCTGCGAGTTCTACAGCTTTAATGTGTAAATTAAACGAATAAGGAAAGATAACCAGCGTTTAAAACAAATGCACAAACGATATGAAGAGACAATAGTTGAAGATGTGAGGAAAAAATCCCAGAATAAATCACCAGAATATGTTTCACTTCAGGAATAAATAAACTGAGAATACAGAATATGGATCAATAAATTAACTGGCGAAAGAAGACTAGACCTTATCATGATCACATTTTCAAATTGAAATCTAGCAATCTACAGATTTTTTGTTCAACGATATCCACGAATATAAAAATATGTCAGTGATCATTATAAAAATCAGCATCAAAATCAGAGCAAGTTTTCTAAAGTTTCTAAAATTCTAAAACAATGCTACTGTACGTTTTGATAGAAGTAACGTATAAGTCAGACGCTTAATAACTGAATCAATATCGTTTGTAGCCCATCATTCGCATTCAACTTACTCAAAACTGGCTTATAACGATATGTTTGAAGTAAATAAACTCTACTACTTGTCACTCTTGAAACAATTACTTAATCGGTGATTCCTCACATATAATAGAAGTGTGTTTTAGAATTATTTGACTTTAATGAGGACAAATAAGTTGGAATCGACTAGATAGATAGTCGTACATGGATTTCTAAAATAACAATGATGCTGCTGTAAGTATGCACTGTAGATATGCTTCATTGACAAAACCGTGCCTAAAGTGAACAAAGTTGACTTTCTTATTTGATTTTCGTAATAGCAACTTTCATCCACAGCTTCATCTTTGCAGTAGGTGTAAAGAATGTGGTACCAGTCGCATAATAACTTTAATAATAATAACAGGTGGTAACAGAAACCACTAAGCATCATTTGAGCCACTTTACTTACTGACATTTTTAATAACAGTAATGTAAACGGCAGAAGAGCGCAAATGCACAGTTATGTCACGACGACGATGGTAAGAAAAAATAACATAATGGATGGAAATTAAAATAATGTGGAATAATCAGCAATGAGATCGCATATTTATCGAGCGGAAAAAATGACAGAAGGAAAGAGGAAAATAAATACAAGTGATGATAGAAAGCATTTTTAATTGAAGAACTTCCGTTTCATTATCGCAACATACAAAAATACAAGTCAGTACAAACCGATTAATCATCGTAACATTAAAAAATACAGCATCAACCTCAACTTCAGTGATTTCAAATAGACCTGATTGTTTACTAATAACAGTCGCTTTGTACTCGGATCGATTATAGATGTTGTACCAAGTGGATAAACAGTGTCATCTTCTCATTCTTCCAAATTTTCCAGTTCAAGCCTTATGCCTTGCAGTTTTGCTAGTTCGACAATATTGACTTAAAAAAATTTCATAAATCGCCAATTTTGAATTAGCAATTACGGCAGTAAAGAATATGACGGAACCCGAAAAAAGAAAAAAAATACACATTCACTTGATCTCACTTAAGGCTGCTGAACGAAATTTATAGGAATCTTTTTAAAATAAAGAGTAGGGACATCATATACATATATATATATATATATATATATATATATATATATTATTTATTTTATTTTGTTTTATTTTATTTTATTTTTATTTTGTTTCTTACTTTA